TATATATATTTTAAGTTAGCTAACATGTTCCTATATCGGGACACGCCTGCTTTAGAATCGAAACATCTCAAAAATGTTCTCACATCCTAACTCTTCGTACATAGTAAATGCTTGTCATCCCCACCTTGCTTAAAATGTCTTCGCTAATAATGCTCTAGGGGTAACGTAACTTTGAGCTGCTCTGCTCTCTTGACTCATTCAACTCTCTTTGCACTAATTTAATGGTTTCATGTATTTTCAAGGGTTCTCTCATTTTTTTTTCTTCAGAACGAAGAAACAATAATATCCGCGAGAATTTTACTTCAATGGTTATCTTTTTTTTAATCAATATTTAAAATTTATTCTAATTTTTCTTTATATACTTTTATTTCTAAATACGCTTTAAAATTTTTAAATTTATAAATTTCACTTTACATGCATGAATAAAATTAAACGTACATTTATAATTACATAATAATACTACATAAAATTTGGAAAATATATTATTTATTTCTGCTAATAACTATGTTTCTTTTAAGGGGTAATTGCAAAAATGTTATTTTTGGTGTGTAGATTTACAAAAATACCACTTAAGGGTGTCCATTTGCAAAAATACCACTACTTATATATTTTTAAAGCCTAAACCTTAAAATTATAAATTCTAAAAAAATTTTAACCCGTAAAACCCTTTAAACCCTCAAAACTAACCCTAATATAATATAGTTTATCCAAACATAAATGATATAATAAAATTTCTTTCTGAAAAGTAGCATTTTTACAAAAATTTTGAAAATATATTTTTACAAAAATTTTGAAAATATATTTTTAAAAGTGGTAATTGAAAAATGGCATCATTAAAAAATTATGTTCTTTTAATATATGCCATATTTGATCGTCAATAAGTGGTAGAATGGACTATAACGGGCTCAATGAAGTCCATACCATTAATAATCAGCCTGATTTATATAATCATAAATGATAAGCCCAATATCGTTTGGCCCAAATCATTTATATACATAAATATTAGTAAAAATTCACGCGCGATGCGCGAAACAACTATTTAAATAATTTTTAAAACTATTTATATATATATATACTAACATTGATATACTTAAATGATGTTTAAGATTTATACTCACTATTTCTATTTATACAAATTCAAACATCATTTTCAAATATGTAATATGAAAGTGAACCATATGATGTTATATATAAACAATTTCATTTGAATACTATATTTTTAATTTTGCTCTAGAATTTAGCATATTATTTTCAAATATTTAATATGAAAGTGAACCATATGGAGTCCACACGTAAGCGGAAAGATAAAACTTATAAAGTAAAATATGCAATAATTTACAGATAAACACGTGTAAAAAAATTTTAAAATTTAAATTTTTTTGAAATTATTGATCACATATTTGGTTTACAGAATTTGATTTTTATATTATCTAAATTTATATAGCTTCTACAATTTTTTAAGAAAATGATACTTTTTTTTATAAATTTATTTTTTATTCATATCTTTATGAGTATTTGCATAAAATACTCTATATAAAAATCAATATCGTATGTAACATAAAAAAAATTTTAGTTTTTCCAAAACTATTTTTTTATCTATCAATAAATGAAGTTCATAACATTTT